AGAATTCAATATATATATATATATGGGGGTTTTGTCCCTTTCCAAAACTAAGTAAAATTTAACTCCGAAAGTTTGAATTTCTCCTTCATTGCATACTTTTTGCTCTTATAGCCATTTATCAGACACTATTAATGAACATTAAAATTTTTTATATGCAATAAATTATACGACTCGTTTATTTGAAAAAAAAAGTATTTTACGTTTTGTTAAATTTTTATTTATGAATTTTTATTACCTTATTTCATAATGATTCAAAAAATTTCGAATGGAAATGAAATGTGCTAACTTTTACACTTTACAAACTATGCAATTTTTAATACGATAATCTACAATTTGGGAGAAATCGTTGAATAGTTTTTGAGGATTAAAAAATTAAAGGTAGGAATTTGAATTTTTTTTCATCTCAGAAATAATTTAACCATTTGTTATAACCTTTTCATGTCTAAAGTTATACAAGTAACATACTATTTTAAAATTTTTGCGGTGTAACCAAATTTTTTTAATCTGTTTTAGATTTTTTCTTCTTCTTTTAAACAAGCATGGCATCACTGCTTTTCTGTAAACTACCTTTTTCTTTATTTGCTCTAATTTGTTAATGAGCAAATCATTTTCATTGAATTTGTCGTTACAAAGTTGAGTCCAATTTGTAAAACTTTTTTCCCCCTTTACTTTTTTAATAGTGTGGCTTAGCATTTATTTTTTCTTTAATTTTTAAAAATTCATGGAAAAATGTCAATATTGAAAATGGAAAAACTAGTGAAAACAATAAAAGAGGAAATCAAGTAAAAATAATGAAAATAAAATAAAAAGAATGAAATAAAAGAAAATAAAAATAACAAAATAAATAAAATAAAATAATAAAATGAATGAAATAAAGCAAAAATAATAAAATAAAATAAACGAAAATGAATAAATAAATTATTAAAAAGATAAAACTAAAATAAATCAGCAAAAGAAATAAAATTAAATAATAAAATAAAAAAAATCGTGAAATAAAGCTCAAAATAAATGAACAAAAAAAAAAAAAAATAGATAGATAATAATATCATTACAATTTTTGTTTTATTTGTCTAAAGGTATAATATTAATAATTTGTTTATTTTATAAGGTAAATATATATTTAAAAAAGAAACAACCAACATTTTTTGTGAGAAACAATTTTCTGTTTAAAATATGTAAAAATGAGAAGCATTCGGCGCACGCTCAATTTTTATACCCAACAGAATAAAGGTGCATTTAATTTCTCCCACAACCTACAATAAAGAATTCAACGAATTCACACATTTTGATCGAAAAAAGAATTCTTTGTAATATGTTCACAGTCCCGCGACGAGGTTTTTGCCCTTCTCACTTATGCGAATCCGTGGCGCTTGGGCCACTAATTTTGTAGATTTGATCTCGCTAAATCTCGAATTTTATTCGCCATATTGATGATTTGGAAGGGCAAGCTGACGTAGGCCTCTCATTAAGAGGATATGAATATATCATTTAAATTAGTTAAATTAGTTTTATAATAGTTGAAATTTCCATGTGTTTGTGTCTTTATAGTTTGATATTTCCGTAGATCAACAATTAGCGGTAAGAGTTACTCCTATTTAAAAATGTTTAAAAAATATATAAATTTTTTTTTGTGTCAATGTATTGAATGTATAATAGGCGTAAACATAGATATGAAATCTAAACAATGTTGCTATTGTGTTGTGTACACATATCCTTTTATTTATCGCATAAAATAAAAATATCGGCTGTATATTCAGTATATTTATGTGTTGTATAAAAACGTGTTTATTGAATGCCTAATAGGGTAATGACACAGTAAAAATCTGACAGTGAAATTCCTAGTTGTGGATTAGCATTTTTGCCAGCGTCGCATTTTTTGATAATTTTTTTTTTTAAATTTTAAAATCGTTTTAAAATATAACTGTGTTGTGTATATGTGTCTCTGCACACGTGTTTTTTGCTTGTTGTTTTTTATATGGAATGTTGATTGTTTTTGTTTGTTTTTTTCATTGGAATGTGTTGACATAGAAATTATTATTAAAATTATATTTGCCAACTCACCCATAAATATGGACTCGCCTATTTCAATCGATCGATAAAAAAGTATTGGAATGAAATGCGCGCATGCTAATTTTTCATTTCATTTATGAATATTGTTGTATGTAAAAACTATTGTATAATTTAAATTTTTTTTTTAAGAAATTGAAATTTGGCATAAATTGAAAATTTAGTTGATGTCTATGAATTTATGAAAAAGTAACATAAATATTGCATAATAATAAATAATTTATGTTATTAAAATTAAAATTTGACTTAGTAAGTAAAAATTTAGATAATAGTTTTTTATTTGGTGTAAAAATGAAAATTTTTTTTAGTACCATATAGACTAGAATTTTAAAAACAATTTTGTTTAATATTTTGTAGGTTACAAAATTTAAGAAAATCTAACTATTATTTGTCATAATAATTAAAAATTTAATAATTTTTTTTAGTGTTAATTTTAAAAAAAATTTCTTTTGTTAAAGCTAGTTGATGTTTTTTGTTTGAGTTATGCAAATTTTGTTAATTATTAATTACTAATTTAGTTTGAAATAATAATAAATTTTAAAATTTTTAATAATTTTTTTTATTTATTTAGTTTTATTTAAATTTCAATTAGTCATTGTTTTCTTCCTTTAACACAAATACTTGTGTAAAATGTCATTAATTGTTAATATAACTAATGTCAATGTTAGAAAAATTCATTTTTTATTAAGTGCATTTTTACATAAAATATGCTGCTTTAAGATTTAAATTTGTATAATTGATTTATTCAAGTTTAATTATAAAAGCCAATAATGAAAAAAATATAAATTGTGAAAATTTAAATACTATTTGTAATTATGGTGTATAATATTTTGAAATTACTGTATAAATGTTGTTTTTATCTCTGTAATTTTTCGACTGTTATATAAAACAATAAGAGTGTCATTTTAATTTAAAAATAATGCTTAGTTTTTTTAATTGTATAAATGGATAATATTTCAAATAATGTATTTATGTGTTTAATGGTTAAATTTTAATTAATTTTAACAGTTATTAAGCAATGGAAATTAAGACTTAACATGTGGGATATGGAAGTAACTACTCAAAATCTATAATTTTAAAATGAATTAATCATTAAAAATTCATCCATATTATACTTATGTTTAAAAGAATAAATCTATAGCCATACTTTTTTCATTTTGATTTGAAATATTTTTATTTGAAACAAAAAATGCGTAGCATAAAGAGAAAAGTTCATTATTAATTGAAATTCTTCAATTCATTGTATATGAGTTTATAAAAAAAAATTTAAAATATGTGATTATAATTAAAGATATTGTTTAAACTAAAAAAAAAAAAAAAAAAATCTTTANGTTTTAAATAAAAAAAAAAAAAAAAGAAATCTTTAAATTTTTGTTTTCATAATTTTTAATAGTTTTGAGTGATTAAATCAATTATTAAATTTATCTGAAATAAAAAGGTTCCCAATTAACAGTTATAGTTAATTTAGTTAGTATTTTTTTTCCTTGAGGACTTCTTATCTTTTTAGCCTTCCTCATACAGTGATTTCACTTCAAATCATACATTTTTGGGGGTGGACACCAAATGAAATATAGAAAAAAAAAAGTAGATGCTGGCAGGCCAAGTTAAACTAAACCTTAAAAAACATTCTTCTGTATTAATAGATTTAGAAAAAAATCAAAATAATTTTGATTTGATTTGGTATGGAAATTTTGGATTGTAATTCTTTCTTGGATTATTTATTTCACATCACATTTTTTCTTAATTGTAAATTTTTTTTTTATAATCTATTTCTTGCAGATGTGACTGAAACTACATTTTGTTAGGTTTTCTTATTTTTAAACTTTTTTCATTTGATAAATATTTAATAATTCTAATTAAAAATTATTTGGAATATTTTTCTGCAGCTTAATGCATGTAAGAAAAAAGAATTGTAAGAAAGCTAAAGAAGAATAAAAATATTTAATGTGTCTGATGTTACTAGGAGGGGACATGGATAAAACATCATTAACATCAAGCAATAATGGGATTATTTTTTTTTTAGAAATATTTAAAAAAAAGCTTCAAATTAACTGGAAACAATTAAAGTTCTCATGAAACAAGCTATAAACGGGGTATCTGCGCTCATGGAAAATCACGAATTTCGGTATTGAATCATAAAAGTCATGATTTTAACTATTTTTTAAAAAAATCATGGAAAGTCATTGATTTAGGTTGCGGAAAAATCTAATTTTTAAAATGAGATTCCCCCTCTCTCAATTTCATGGTATTCTGAATATCTGAGTTTCTAACAAAATCCCCCCTCATAGTCATATTATTATAAAATATAAAATGTTTTTTTTTTTCATGTTCTTTTTAAATTATGGTGTTCTTTTAAAAATGAAAGAAAAAACTTCATTTCTAGAACAAATTATTTTTTAAAATTCTAGCTGCAGCAGGCCAGTCATTGGCGGATTTTTTTTAATTCCGAAATGAGAGCAGAAAAATCAGGGGTATTTCTTTCCTTTTCCATGAACAAGAAAAGTATATTTAGGCAGAAAAAAAAATTGCTTTTGTATTTTTTTCAGCTATTTTATTGCTTCAACTCTTTCTTTACTCTGTTTTTTAAATTTAAAATCTATAAATATGAAAATGCAGAGTAAATAATTTTTGGTTATACCTATCATAGCAATTAATGTTATTATAATGTTTTTTTTAAAATTTATAGTTGTGCTTTTGTCAGAGAAAATAGTAACATCGTTAAGTTAAGAAAAGTTCTTGCAATTAGTCATGGAACATCATGAAAAGTCATGAATTTGAAAATCTAAAATGTAGCAGATACTCTGATGTTACAATAAAATTTTTGTGATTCAAATTTTTTTATAAATTAACTAAGTTAATAAAAAAACAAAGAAATTTGTTAATGAAGGAATGTTATTAAATGTTTATTTTTTCGTAATCTTGTTCTTTGTATCATGGAATAATAATTTAATAGGACCTGCGTTTAGTAAAAAAGTATCCATAAATTTTTAAACCCTAGTTTGAATCCTGCATTTGAGTGTTTACTTTTTAAGGCAATGATTCTATCGAATTTTTCAGGTATTGCTATTGATTTGTCCTTAGTATTTAAATCCGATATTTTTTGTACGATATTATTTATTACAACAACCTTATCTCGAAACGAAACACGCATTTGAGTTATCCCTTTTTGAGGAGTCCGATTCATGTGATTTCAATGTTGATCTTTTTTTCGGCAACGGAGTTCATGATTTTTAATATTTTTTTATTGCGATGATTGTTTGCAAAATGCAAAGAAAAAAATAATTAAGGCGCTCGTCCCCCCCCCCCCNCCCCCCCCCCCCCCCGAAAAAATTTCGAGAATTTCACCCATAATATTAGAATAAAAAATTCTTAAATGTTCAATTAAAAACAAATAATAGTTTTTTTTCTTCCGTAAGCACAGGGCTTTTGTTATTTTAAATTAGTAACATACGTGTTTGTTATCATTAAAAGTATCTTGTAGAAAAATATTAGTGCTAGAGAGTTTTGTCGCAGGTAGCTTGGAAAAATTCTGCTGCAGGGATTCTCAAAATGTTAATGATTACCAGGGTTAGGTTTTTGACGTCAAAAAGTGGTTTTTGACATGACAAGGGTATAATACTGGTTTAAACCGTCAAAAACTGAAGTTTGCCAAGAAAATATATAAACTTCAAAACTACCAACAGTTGCCATGCATTATATTGAAATTTAATTATACTATAGGTAATCAGCAGGTTTTAAAATATTTTTTAATTAAAATTAAGGTAAAATAACAGATTTAAAATCTTAGAAATTTATATTCAAATGCGTGTGCAGAAAAGTTTTGCACAAAAATTGTTTAAATATTTATATTTTGAAAAAAATTTTTTTTTTTTTTGAAATTTAAGAAAATTAAAAGTTTAAAACTATGCATTTTTGACATATAAGGCACATATAACTAATATTTATAAGGAACTTACAAGTTATGTTGTATAAATACAAACTTGATACAAGTGTATAAAATTTTTTTTTAAATGTTATACCGAATATCTTTATTATTCAGTATGTTAATTTGAATTTAAAATTAGTTATATTTATGAATAATGATAAATATAATTCATATTGTTTATTATATTTATTTATAATTATTACACTTATCATTTTAAAACAAACATAAAATATTTCAATGTTCTTAAAATGTCACTAAACATTCAGCAATTCATTGAGTTATAGAAAAAAGAAATATCGTAAATTATAGAAAACCTTGTGAATGTGCATTAGAATTACTATACAATNTTTGCAACACATTTTAATGCGTAAGGCTAAATGAATAGGCTGAATATACTGTAAATCGACACTAACTACTCTGTGTATTTAACAGAAAGCACTTAAATTTGTATTTTCTTATGTTAACAAAAGATGTGAGTTTTCAAAAATACAGTCAGACCTCGATATAAGGTCACCCTAAGGGACATCGCAAAAGTGACCTTATAAGCGGGGTGACCTTTTAACCGATTCATTAGCAGTTCGTAACT